GATCAAACAGACTGACTGCAGCTCCGGGATGGGCACCGCCCTCTCGGCACCCGGGAACCAAGCTGTGCCCCAGGCTGCCCCACGGCTGCTCCGGGCCTGAATGATGAGCCCTGCGCCCTTCCCCCGGAGCTGGCTTTCGGTGACGATTCCTCATAAACTGCTCGTGGCACCTGGCGAATTTCCAGGACGCGTTTTCAGAAATGAGCAAGAGGCCCGTGCTCCGAGACGTGCTTGGGTCTTTGGTTTCTCCTTCGGGAGAGGGTGGTCGAGTCGCAGCTGCCGCAGAGCTGCCGCCTGCTCCCTGCCAGGCACTGCCGAGGCGCTGGCATTGTTCACAGGCGCCCACCTCGAACTCAGTGGTCTCCACTTTGCAGGTGAAGGAGGCAGGCTCAGGGGATTCGCCCAGGGTCCTGCCCCTCGAGGAAGCGGCCATGCTGGGATCGAGAAAGCCCGCGTCTCACCCTCTGAGCTCAGAGACGGAATGGGGCCGTCCTTTCCTAGCTCTGCACTCGAAGACGCGACACGGTTTGTCCTGAGAGCTAAATGGTCCTCGTCAGGGCCTCTAAGGCAACACACGAGCCCATTCATCCTCTTCCGGGCCCTTTGTGTCCTGGCCTTTGCAGCCAGCCGGTCAATTGATCCGCCCGTCTCCAGGGATACAGTGCGTCCGCGTGCGGTTCGCTGCGCATCTGCAGAGTATTTTGGCTTTGTCGTCTCACGCTGTCCATCCTGAACCAGGTCCTCTCAGGACATTTGGCATCAAGTAACATAAACCCACTCCAACTTGTCTGGCAAAGACGGGACTCTCCTGAAAGCAGCGTAGGGCCTCTTATAGCGGGCGTGGTCAGGCTAAGGAGGACCCAGACAGAGGGGAGGGGGGGATGTAAAGCAGCTGGTCTCTATCCCTTTTTGCCCAGGGCTCTTTCCTGCATGGCTTTCACCCGCCTCTTCCTGCAGACCAGCTTTCTCTGTGCACACAGCTCCCCTGTGGCCTTCAGGTTTCTTGCACCCAATTCCTATAGCCAGTCCCAAATGACCAGGGTCATTGGCACCCAAGCCCAAGAGGCCCACTTTGGGAAACACTGACCAAGGAAGAGCCATTCCCACGGAGAACTGCGCCTAGCGCACAACAGGGGCTGAACACGTGTTGGCGGATGGATCCGCTGGCTCAGCGCCCCCCCCCCACCCCCACGTGGTGCTCCACCTGCAGTCACAGCCGGGAGCCAGTCTTCTGCCTCAGTCCCCTGCTTGCAGCTGCCCTTCATCAGAACAGTAATCCGTTTGAGAAAAGTGAAAGCGAGATTGAGAGCAGGTGGAGTATCCGCTATGGGCCCAGCACTGCCCACGATGCAAAGGCAGTAGCCGCCTACAATAGTGGTTCTCAACCCTTGGCTGCACATTAGAATCACCTGGGAATCTTTTTAAAATCCTGATTTGAATGAGGCCCAGAAATCAGGATTTTAAAAAGATTCCCAGGGTGATTCTTATGTGCAGCCAATGTTTGAGACCACTGGCTTACACAGACTTCCGCTAAGCTTAGGGGTGGGGGCTGAATGGGAATTTTTGGCGGGGGGTTGGGGGGAGGACACAGCATCTCTCACAGAACCCAAGGGCAGAAGTACAGCTGGGATTCCCAGGGGCCAGGACCAAAGACCAGAGAGTCATCAGCAGACAGCCGTGTCTGAGGTCTCATTGCTCCCGTCGCCTCTTCTAGCTTCATTCTCTCTACAGAGCAGCAGCCCCTGCTTCCCTCACCTGTGGCCCATCAGGATGGCCCCCAACAGCCCCTGATCCCTGAGACCACATCAGCCAATGGCCTCCCGGTCCATCCCAGGACCAATTCCTGGGAAAGAAGGTCCTGGCCCAGCTCAGCATCTGATTGGTTCTCCTGGGTCAGGTGGACATATACGTCAGGTCCAATCAGCTGTGACCTAGAGGGTATATAGGTCACATGATGGCAACCTGGCTGCTGAGATGCCGCCTCTGGGTGGGATGGGAGTGCTAGGTGGGCGTCTTCTCTGCTCGTTCACAGCCCGGGGCCATTTAGGGCTCCAACTCAGGTGGATGGCTTCTCGCTCATCTCTGTCTTCTTATATTTTCCTTAAGAACCAAAATATGATGCACAGGAAAGGGCTAGGGTTTTCTGGTTTTTACTTTTTAAACTTTTTTTTTCCTGTAGTCAACAGATGGGGCCCCGATAGATCTGAACCAAGGAGCAAACAGGACGAGGGTGACTTGGGGAAGGCTGAGGTGGAGATGGCCCCTGCTTTGGCAGGTGGCTTTAATTTAATATCGCAGATAACTTTCTTGCCTCTCTGGGCACGATTCGGGACCCCAGCCTGTAGCTAACACTCTCTCTGCCTTTGTTTTAACAGAGATGAACCCGTGCTCTACATTTTATATGCTAACAATTCACGGTATGTTCTGAGCAATGTGAATACTTTCCTCCTCGATCCTTTCCACACATACAAAACCAACCGGTCCTCCGTGCTCTTCCAGTGTTCCTGCCCAAGGGGAGAGTCGGGAAGTGGGAAAGGCTGGGAAGTGTTCAGGCCGGAGGGGGCTGGTCTCTGAGAGTGAAGCTTGAACCCTGTGTTGGTTTCCTGTCGCCACAGTGACCAATTCCCACAAACTTGGGGGGTGGCCTGAAACACCGGAAACGTGTTCTCTCAGAGCTCTGGGGGCCAGAAGCCCACCGTTAGCACCACCTGGGAGGCAGTCACGGGTTTCAGCAGGGCCGCTCCCTTGGATGCTCTAGGGAAGACTCCATCCTGGCCTCTTCCAGCTCTGGTGGCTGCTGGTGTCCTTGACAGTGGCCGCATCACTCCAGTCTCTGCCTCTGTGGCCACATGGCCGCCTCCTCTTCCATGTCTGGCTTCTCCCCGCCTCTCATCACTCATGTGGACATTTGTGGATGACACGTAGTGTCCCCATCATCCAGGGTCTCCTCACAATCCTTAAGTCACATCTGCAAAACCTTTGCCATAGAAGTAACATGCTCGGGTCCCTGATGTCTTTGGGGCCACCATTCAGCCCACGACAAGCCTCAGGTCACTCTCTCTCCTGAGGAGGGTCTAGGCTGGGCAGATACCCGAAAGGATGTCTACCAGAGGCAGGTTGAGAGCGCTTTTAAAAAGCCGTTTCTCAGCTCAGCTCACTGACCT